TTTAAATATCAAGAAAATGATTTGTTTTTTAAATGTTGATCATCGAATCAGCTTTCGATGAACTATAACAACAGCATACGATCACCTTGAATTACTTGCTATTAATCTTGTCATTGAATCAGCTTTCATTAAGTTATAACAATCAAATATGATTAATCTCATTTGAAAACTACCTCACCCTTAATCTTAACCTGAAGATCAAGATCTCATCATATGGTAATCGAAATAATGTTTTTTTTTTTAATAGAGATCATTTACTTACAACCACAACATGATTAAAGGAAAAAAAGCCCGTAGATTCGTTCTAGTTCGTGTCTCAAGCAAGTCATTTAGATACCTGCAATCGAAATTATGTTTCCTGTGGGTTCCACGATGAAAACCTATGATGGGCCCCGTGATGGTGACAATCAACAGTGGCCAATCGTTTTAACAATAAATGATGAAATCTAACGGATATAAATTATGGAGGTGCCGAAGTACATTAATTTATTAATTAAACTGCGCACACTGTGGGAGGTAGGCACGGCAAAAGGATGGAAGACAGACAGAAAGAAAAGTTCCACGTGTCAGTTTTAGAGTCTATGAAATGTCAAAGATTAAGTACGGTGCTCCGCGTATAAGCAAAAGTCCAAGGAGAAAAAGTGCGTCAGAGAGAAAGTGAGGACAGACATCGAGGAACGTTCAAATGTACTGCGTTTGTGCCGATGAGTGGAGAAAATGTTTCCTCTGAAAAGTCCTTACTGCCCTTTCCTCATTTTCCTTTGAGTATTGTTACCCCCCTTTCTTGGAGGCCAAAAATTTAACCTTTTTAAGAGTTTTTTTTTTTTTAACTCTCTCTCCTCCTTTTTTTCTCTTTCTCAAAATACACATAAAATAATTTTTTATATATATCTTTCTAACTATTACTAATAATTTAATTACTTTCCTCTATTTTCACTGACAATTTATCCCTTAATTTGTTTACAATCAAACATCTTTAAAAAATATTTTTTATATTCTTAAAAATTGCTCTTGCAATAATTCATCATCACTTTATAACCTCATACTTGACGCAGCCTAAGAGCAATTTTTAGGTTGAATCAAGTATGAGGTTATAAAGTGATGATGAATTATTGCAAGAGCAATTTTTAAGAATATAAGAATTAGTTTTTAAGAATATTTGGTATATTAATTAATTAAACAGTTAAATGTAAGTGGAATGAGGGAGGAAATGATTATTAGTACCCTTGAGTGATAAAAAAATAAAAATTATTCATTGTGTATTTTAAAATAAAAAATGGAAGTGATACTAAAGAAATAGTATGCTTCCAAGCGGAGGGTAAATTTACCCTCCAAAAACATCAATTTAAGGATAACTATTTACCCTTTTGATAATTCACGTTTATAAAAAATAAACCAAAAAACTTAGGAAAAAACGAATTTAATTAAGTTTCATAGTAGTAAATTTTAAGCCTTGTTATTATTATTATTTTTTAATATTTACGGATAGTGAAATAATCTTGGATCAACTTTAACATCAATGAAAACTAAATCTACAACTTCTTAAGTTAAGTCAACGTCGGGACATACTTAGCCTTTGGTTGACTATTAAACTTTCTCTTAAACCAAATGAGTTTAAATTTGATATTGCTAATGAATAATTATTCTAGTTATCGATACATAGTAAGAATTACACCTTAGTCTTGATCAAGACAAGACGATTCTCTTACCGCCATACCATATTTCCTAATAGATTTTAATACATATTAACATCCTAGAGATTATTTATTCCAGCATTTGTTTATGCTAGAATCCATCACTCAAGTCAACTTTAAAAGTATTAAATTTGGATTAGGGAAGAAAAGAAAAATAAATTAGGGGATTTTCCATTGAAGGATTCTAATTCTAAAAAATACATATTTTATTTTTCAAGCAAGATTAAAAAAAAAGTTGGGTATTTAGATTAAAAAAAAAATCAGTTTTTGGGTGATAAAACTAATCTCATTGTGTTTTAGATAGATGATTTTTCCATATAATGTCTTAGATCGATAATGAGAAATATTAAAGTACTTTAATAACAAATACCAATAAATATTATTTATCAAAATAAAAAAAAACAATAATAAATATTCCATATAGGAGAGAGATATATACAATAAGAAGTAAAAGTTAAAAAAGAATAATATATTTTTTTATGGATCTAATATAATTTTCTCTCTCTTTCCAGTATTCATAGAGTGATTATTGGAAGTAATTCATAAAGCACCACAAAATTTCTCCATATAAATCTCACAAAAAGAAAATGATTTACAAAATAATTTTTTTATACTAAATTTCCATAGTAACTCTTGTGTCTACATTTAAGTGATAAATTGTGGATTTCACAAAATTTAGATGGTTTTCCACTTTTCCTTAAAAAATATATATATAATAATAAATGTCACTGTGTTTATAAGAGAATTTTGTATGCAAATTCTGTCTGCGTGGACTCTTCAAACAGTAACAATATCTAAGGTGGAAATTGTATCTTCATAGAGATAAAGTCCTTTTGAGTATCCAAACTTATCTAATTTCTAAAATTACTTGTCTGCTCTTTAATTTTATTCAAATAAGTGTTCGATCTTTTTATTTCGAATATAAAGTGTTTAAGTGGATGGCTGTTAGTCAAATACGAACGTGTGCCTTAAATGATGGCATAAACACTAATACCTAAGAAAACATTTAGGGCTGACGTAATTAATACTGAAATGCCACTTTGGTAAGTAAATGGTAAGAAAAATTCCCTCCAAAACCTAGCTGAAAAATAGAAAATTATTATTATTATTTAAGCAAAAGAGGTTTCTCCTATATCTAAATTGTCGATAGACGTCCACATATATATATATATATATATATATATTCCAATTTATATATGTTTAATAATTATTATTTTTTACTTCCAGCTAGGTTTTAAGGGAATTTTCCTTACCATGTACTCGCTAACGTCGCATTTCATTAACAACATCAACCTTAAATGTTATCTTAGGTGTTGGTGTTCATGTCATCATCTAAGAGACATGTTAACTTTGGACTAAAACGCATATACTTAGACACTTGATTGTATGGAAAAAAAAAAAAAAAAGAGATGGGATACTTATTTGAATAAAATTATGGATCCAACATTTAATTATAAAAATCATATAGGTTCATACGCTAAAAATTGCTTTATTTCACAAAGTGTAAATTATTTAAAAAAAAAGAATTCAAAGGATGAATTTACTGGTCATTAAAATTTTTAATAAAACTTATTGATCTTTTTGTTTCGTAAAAAAATGAATTTATTGATATTTTTTTTCTTATGCTTTCTTATGTATCCATAAAGTAGTCCAGTGTTTTTTTAATTAATAGTTTAATCTACTTTTATATAATAAGATAATTTTTAATTTATTTTTTATTTCTAATTGAGTTCGTTTTATCTTTGAATACACTTTGAATTTCTACTATATTATTTTAATAATAGTTTCAAATCAAATCGTTGAAATCAACGATGTGATTTACACATAACTATTTTTTATTTTCAAAAGATTCCTACAAGTCGGACAAATACAAAAATTTTATATACAAATTACAAGATTAATTCTCGTAGTTTAATATAAAAATCTTATTAAAATAGTAGATTAAAAACTTAACACATCGTTGGATTAAATTGACTTGATTAAATATATAAAAAAATTATAAAAATTATTATATTATAATATAAATTCAGATTAAGACATATATCTCTTTTTTAAAGAAAAAAATATATAGAAACCTAAAAATGGTGACGCTAATTCACGTCAAATCTAGAAAATTCTGAAAGAATGTTGTGGCGACGGTAAGATGCTTTTGTTTAGGTCATGTGTCATTTCAATAGCGTGGTAAATTTAGCTTCCTTTTACAAGTGGTAGACGCCACTTCTAATTTTAGCTTAGAATGAAGGTGAAGAAAGACGAATCTTCACAAAAACCTTAAATCTTTGTAAGCAGCCTATAGGGTAATTTATTTTGCGTGCGTGATCCATTGTATGAATCAATTTCGTATTTTGTTACTATTAATAACTTCAATGCACTTAATTACTTAAAAGTCAATGAGTTAATTAATAACTTTCTAAATCTTCTTCTAAGTTCATGCATTATTGGAATGGTACGTCCATGTAATTCATCACAGGAACTAGATCGAGTGTCCGATTTAAGTATTTTATTTATTTCTTTTTAATAGGAAAGAACGTAAAATAATAAATACATCTTGAAAATAAATGACTCAGTGACTTTCAAAATATTCATATAAATTGCAAATTCTTGGAAAATAAAAATACATCTTGAACTATTTTTTTCCTTCTCTCTTTTTAATTACTCCTCATAATCACTAAATTACATCTGGATAACTATTCCATTACCTCATGAGAGCCCATCAACTTTTTTTGCTTAAAAATTTATTTGAATTTTAAACCAAGAGTAAATTATAAATTAGTCTATTTTGTTAGGAGAAATAAATTAATTAGTCTTTTTTTTTGTTTTAAAAAATAATCATCTAGTCCTTTATTTTTAAATTTTGTTAATAATTTAATTATTTCAGAAGTTTTTTATTAAATTAATGATTTTTTTTTTCAGTTTGTTCTTTATTTGATGCCTCGTTCCTATCTCATTCACCGATTACTTTCTCTCTTAAAAAAGAAGAAGCTAAGTTATTGATATAATTAAAACAAAAAAAAAACTAAATGATTAGTTTTTTAAATAAAAAATTTATTTATTTAGATGAGAGAGACTAATTTATAATTTACTCTTTAAACTAATAATTCTATAAAGATATTTATGTTGGTTGCATAGAGCATGAGTTTACTTAAAAGGAAAAAAACAAAAAAAAAAGGTCAATTTGGTAACTATGACATTCCTCCTGAAAAACCAACAGTATGTTTGTCAATAAATAAGCACGGGAGAGAAAGACTGAGCAATATAAATGAAACACCGAAAACCATAAAAAGAAATTCAAGCCTGTACTGTCCCTTACATTACGGGCTCCCTCCCTCCTTCCTTCCCTCCCTTTCGTCCTTCCCTCTCATCATCCCATTCCAATTCTACAATAACAAGGCAACTCTCCGATCTCTCAAACATTTTATTTTCCCTGAAGACCACCATGTCGTCCGGTGGTCCCACCGGTGCGTCCTCCACCAATGCCAGCCCAAGCAGCCTCCCAGGTCCCACCACCACTAGACGACGGGTTGATGTCATTGCCTCAGACAAAGCCTTCTCTGATTACAATCACGATTTTCCTGACGAACAAGACAATCTTAACGGCTCTTCTACTATTGGAGGGGCCCACCATTATCATCATAATCACCATTATCATAATCACAGCCACCACCCCGTGATAAAGTACTTTCTGCTTCGCAGGAAGTTGTTCTTTTTGTCCCGGAGACGTGGTTGCTTGGGGTGGAGGATTTGACGGCTACGATTTCAAATAGTTTGAGATCCGGCAAGAACATGGGTCGTAAGATATTCGGTGTTTTAATGTTAATGGCGGTTTTGTCGGTTTTTCTTAAGGTTTCGTTTTGGAGTCAAATGGAGAGAAATAGTCGTGAAAATAGTAATTTAGTTCTTTTCAGACATTTTAAAGATGATTGGGCCAGGGCTCAACGTTCTATCATCGAACACCACCCTTCCATTTCCACTCCCGTTTTCGACAAGCTTCCCGTAAGTGAAAATGTATATTTTTTCTTTTCCTTTTTTATCACTTTCCGTTTATCGGTTCCCGTGGGAAAAAAGAAAAAAGAAAAACAAAGAAAGAAAAGAAAACTTAGTATGAATATTATCAATTTGAATGTATTTTATGAACTATTAATTGTGCCCAGTATTTTTGTTTTGAAATCTATTAATTCTTGAAATTTATTTCTAATTAGTCTATGAATCTAGAAGTTTAGTTTCTTCTTTTTCCTTTTTTCATTTATACTTGTTGAATATGGGAAAAAAAGAGATGGTATTATGCTATTATGTGATAGTGGCGGATTAGGAATGGAAAGACATTTTTGGTATTCTTTTTGACTTGTTAGAAAATGGGTGGCAACCGGAGAAGCATTGAATTTTCAGTGGAGGTGGTGGCTTTGACCAATGAATATGTACACGATGAGCTGGTTTGAAATGATTAGTTAGATGATCAATTTTCTTGTTTGCTTTTGATTTTGTCTTTGACTAGGTCTTTCCATTCCATGGCCACTGTGACATGCATGATTATGAATTTTGATTTGTTAGTCTTAATCCATGGAAAAGCACTCTCATGGTTTCAATTAGATTGAATATGTGTGATTTTTGTTTGCAGACTCCAAAAATTTGGAGGAAACCCAATAGTGACAACTTTTATCAGTGCATAGATCCGCCAAGAAGTCAAATGAGTATGTTTTTAGCTCCTGTCTTTAAAACCTATTAGGTAGCACCTTGGCACTTGATGAGTTCTTGCCTAATTTTTTTTTTTTTTTAAATTGATTTAGGAGCCAGAAAAACAAATGGTTACCTTCTTGTTCATGCGAATGGTGGATTGAATCAAATGAGAACAGGAGTAAGTATCAGTATTGACACCCTAATCGAGTTTAACGTTAGAGAAAACTATTCCAGTTGGTGCTGATATGTTGTTTTTTTATTGATGTGCAGATTTGTGATATGGTTGCTGCTGCAAAGTTAATGAATGCTACCCTTGTTCTTCCTTCTCTGGATCGTGAATCATTTTGGACCGATCCAAGGTAACAGGCTAAGTAATTCTAGCTGGTGTTTGCATAATATTATTTCTGCTGGATATAAAGTTGAAATGAAGCAATTTTGTAACTCCTTTCAGCACTTTTAAAGACATTTTTGACTGGAGGCACTTTATGGAAGCATTAAAAGATGATATTGATGTAGTAGAGTATTTGCCACCCCCGTATGCAGCGAAGAAGCCCCTTGAAAGGGCACCTGTTTCGTGGTCGAAGGTCTGAAAAGAATAAATGTATTTTCTTTAAATTACCATAAAAACTTCCTCTGGTGGTCTTGGAATTTTAGCTTTGCTGCTTCATTTTCAGGCTAATTACTACAGAACGGAGATGGCTACATTGTTAAAGAAGTACAAAGTTATAAGGTTTACCCACAGTGATTCACGGCTGGCTAATAATGGCCTTGCAGCTCACATCCAGAAGCTAAGGTGTCGCGCCAATTACAAAGCTCTCCGGTATTCAAAGGAGATTGAGGATCTTGGGATGAAATTGGTTGATAGACTAAGAAATAACAGCGAACCTTATCTTGCTCTGCATTTAAGGTACTTAACTTCTGGTTTCTATTAGCATTTATCTTAGCTGGAAAAATGTGCCATCTGATTTCGTAGTAAGGAAAATTCGCAAATTAACCAGATCCTATGTTCACTGGCAGATATGAGAAAGACATGCTTGCATTCACTGGCTGCAGCCACAACCTTACCGCAGAAGAGGCTGAAGAGCTTAGGGTTATGAGATATAAAACTCTGCATTGGAAAGAGAAGGATATGGATAGTAAAGCACGACGGCTCCAAGGGGGTGTCCAATGACTCCTAGAGAAGCAGCTATGTTTCTCAAGGCTATGGGCTACCCATCCTCTACAACTATCTATATAGTTGCAGGGCCAATATATGGAAGTGGTAGCATGGCACCCTTCCTTGCAGAGTTCCCAAATGTTTTTTCTCATTCTAATCTGGCAACTACAGAAGAATTAGAACCTATCAAGCCGTATCAAAATCGTCTCGCTGCCTTGGATTATATTGTGGCACTTGAAAGTGATGTCTTTATTTATACATATGATGGAAATATGGCCAAAGCTGTGCAGGGGCACAGGAGGTTTGAAGGATTTCGAAAGACTATAAATCCTGACAAGTAAGATAACAAATCTCACTTACTTTCACGTTGAATTTTCTTCTTTGTTGGAAACTGGAATGATGGAATGAATTTGATTTCAGACGAAATTTTGTTGCGCTGATTGATCAGTTGGATGAGGGTACATTATCCTGGGAAGATTTCTCTTCACAGGCTCAAAGTTTACATTCTAACAGGATTGGGGCTCCATACCGGAGGCGGGCAGGCTCATCACCTAAGGAGGAAGAGAACTTTTATGCGAATCCTCTTCCTGGTTGTGTATGCAACATTTCCGAGGAGAAATTTGTGAGCCCTAAACTTGTTAAAAAAGCAAAACGAAGTCATATGGATGCATAGATAGGGTTTATGTTTGAATATGTAGCTCGTGCAGTGAACTAGTTGATAACCATTGCTTGAAACATGGCCAATGTGGGTGTCGGAATGGAGCAGTTTCCCAGATAGGGGACTGTAGGAGCTGCCGTCAGGGTCAAGAAAGGTTTCTCACGTGGCAGGAAAGATACAAGTTTCATCTTTTGTTTAGACACAGGATCTAACCAACAATTTAGTGAAGCAGAGAAAGTCAAAGCATACTTCTTAGGTGAATCATCTCGGTCAACACATGTGCAGAGATATAATTTTGTCAATTACAGATTAAAATTATTTCATTTCTTTATACAAAATTATTTGTTGATTTATCTTTCGCTTGGCCATCCAATATTCAGTTGCCAAATCAGAAGCAGATTCCGACTATGTTTAATTTTCAACAAACTAATAATATGATGGTTAATTTGTCAAGTGGTAGCAACAATTGTAGCTTCCAATTCGAAGGACAGAGTTATTCGATGAACATGATTTATGGATAACATACCTTGATTCCATGAATATCACTCACAAAAATTTTAACTGTCAGAGGATGGTGACTGTTTTAATAACACAGAGAAAGAGGGATCACGCATAAAACAATGGTGCTTTGATTACCAGAGGAATACTGTACAATGCATTCCTCTCCTACAATTGGCACATTCGCAAGTATCCGCTAATCATAGTACCTCGGTGATGGAATGAACAAGAAACAGATTCTGACCATAAATTTCTTTCTAAAGTCTCAGTTGCTCTCTTCTGAGACACCCTATTAACTTAAGAAGACAACCCTGTAGTGAAGCTCAAACCAGAGATACTTTGAAATACAGCCTACCACATTGAAGGTACATAAACCTGTTCTTTCAGGTTTTGTGTTGCACTTTCAGTAGGAAAACCTTTTACTGCACCTATTGTCCATTGTGATATAATTCCTGCTGCAACTGCAAACCGAAGCTGCCTCTCCAAAAAATCTTGATCTTCAAACATCTCGGGGCAAGTAGTAAGCTTCCTCATAAGAGCAGCCACAACAGCATCACCAGATCCAGTCCTATCACAAGTGAATGGGGTTATTAGCACATCTTCGGTTCCAGTCACTTTCCCATCAAACTTGGGGCCATAGTAATGAATCTCAAGTGTTCCATCAGTAACAAACAAAAACTTAAGTCCATCATGCCACAGTGGAGAGATTTCCTCACGGGTATAGTGATAGCAATTTCGCCGATCCTTGGTTTGCTCATAACTTTCAGCATAGTATTGTGGCTTGTAATCCCTTTTCCTCTCATAATACTTTTCATCTAAGAGAAATTCCAGCTCTGTTCGTGATACCTCAATAAAATCCGCTTCGCTCATAGCTTTTCTGATAACTTCCCTTGTCTCATCGCGTGATCTCCACAAAGGCAGTGGCAAATTCAAATCAAAAAATATAAGCCCTCCAAACTTCTTAGACAGTTTGATTGCTTTAAAAAGTGCCGATTGCAGGGACGGTGATGTTAGAGCTTCCGAATTGAAATGGAACATCCTAGCCTGCATTAGATACAACAGAATTTAAATTACACATCAAGTCACAAATTCAGTTTGCAGCACGAATATTCAATCATTTTTTCTCTCATCGACCAACAAAGGGAACCTCAGAGAAGAAGGTCATAATGGCACAATCCATGTCTACTATTCCTTCATTCATCTAGTAATTAAAACCGTGAAGCTGCTAACAACTTTGTCGATATGCCAATCAACGCAGCGGCAGAGATACTCAAATGATTCGAAACACACAATCATATCCAATTCAATTCAATTCAAATTTGCATACAAACTGCTTCCGATACGAAAAGTTTAAAAAAATTCGGATTATATTAAACAAGTTTACAAATCAAATAATCCATTTAACCAAATGCATTGCCAAACCTCCACAAAACAAAACAAAGAACAGCAAATTTTTATCTTTTTCTTTACCTCTTTAAGCACAGAGAGGTTCAATTCAGAGCCAAGTAACGAATCCTCAGCAGCCTCCTTAACCATCTCCATCCTCATTTTTCCATCATCACCAAACTTAACCTTCATAAAACTACATGCCGTTTTCACATTCTCATCAAACTTCACCGCCCGCGTCTGCACTCTCTCCTTATTCATCGTCAACACCAACTCCTCTCCCAAATCATCATCTCCAACTTTCCCCATAAAAGCTGCCCTCCCACCAAGCCTCACATGCGCTATCGCCACATTGGACACTGGCCCACCTAGGGCCCTCGCGAACTCAGGTGGATCCCATTGCAGCATTTTCCATTGTGAATACATATCCGGGTGCATCGGATTATCGTGCACCCTCACCGTAGGTACAAATTCCTTCTGCGCCGCACCGAAACAGCAAACCAACGGTGGATAATCGTAAGGAAAATCAATCCCATCATCATAAACATCCACATCTTCACTGTCTAACAGTTGTGTATCACTATTTGTCGCATTTTCAGCTTCAGCTTTCTTTGAGCGTTTGGTGCTTCTCTTAGTTGTTGCTGTAGTAGTAGCGGAATTTGAAGATGAAGCTGTATCCAGTTTCTTTTTCCGGCCACGGCGAGAAGGAGTTGAGGAGTCAACAGCTCCATTTGTGGTTGATACTTTTGGTGGTTTTAGCTTTATTAATGGATGACAAATAGCATTTTTATGAAAAAATGGTGGTTGTTTGGGTTTAGGAAATTGTGGGGTTGAGGGATTGTAGTGTGGAAGTAGAAGAAACGTAGCCATGGCCGTGGGTTTAGCGAGCTTCACTGTTTATTTTTTTATTTTTAGGGTTTATCCACTTTTGTCTCGGAAATTCTACCGGGTCGCAAACAGTTACCTATTAATAGGGTTGGGTCACGGCAGCTAAAACGGTTTACCTAGCTACCGGATATGTCAGCAAGAGGATACGCGACCGTACGATTATAGAAGTCTCTTCTTTTTTTGATGACGTGGTCGAATCAGAATGGAAGAGTTAAAATCAAGGCGGAGATTCTTTTCCTTTCGTTGGTTTGTCCGTCAAAAGTAGGAGTAAATTATAAATTAGTCCTTTTAGTCTTGAGAAATGTATTAATTAATTTTTTAAAAATTAATAATTTAAACTTCACGTTTTAATTTTGTTAATAACTTCAATTTTTTTAAAAGATTTTTAAGAAACAAGGATGGTACCTTGATAAATTTTATTAATTAAAATAAAAAATATAATGGGAGACAAACTAGCCATATAAACTTAGGAACAAAGAAAACTAAACCCTAAAAAACAACTCGCGTTACAAAAGAAAAAAACAACCTCAACTTCTATAGTTATAGAAACAAAGTCTATCAATGTTTAAGAGAACACTTAACCTCCAAAAGTAAACTAAAGAAAGTAAAATAAGCATTAGTAGCTTGGAGCCAATGTGAATGATATGCTAACTCGTCTACAACAATATTTTGCTCATGAAATACATAAGAAAGAAAGTACCACAAAAGTCAAGAAGAGCAACATCTCACATGATAAGTATAGTTCCATGGCAAAAAAAATTCTCATAAAACAGATTGAACCACTCGTTTAGAGTTAGCCTTCATAATAATATTACTAAGAGAGAGCGTCGACAAAGTAATAGTACCATCATACAAAGCTAGAAGTTATGCTCTTGTATTCATATCTACACCATAATTATTTGCATATGTTTCCATAAACTTCCTTATTGTTTACTAGTGCAACAATCATTAACGTAAGATTCATCCATATTAAGCTTATATAAATCATCCAAGAAAAGCATCCATCGAAGCCATTTACCTTTATCAAAAGACATTGATAGGACGAGTAACCCTAAAACTTGAAGATTCTCGTATTGAAGAAATACTAGAAAAAGATTTAGAGTTAAAAATTATACACATATCAATAAGATAACGATGAACCCGATTGAATATGGCATTTGTAGACATGGGAAAGAACGTAATAACTACCCGATATATGCCTACTTATGTAGAAGTTGAGGCCATCCAAGCATGTAGGTGGTTAGAAAATGATGCATATGTGGTGTCGAAGCCAAAAACCTATACCATACTCGTAGAGCTAACATTTGAATACAAAAAGAGATGATCAATCGATTCCTCTCTAGGAGACATACAAAAGCTACAAATGGAGATCATAGGAATGGTTAAGTCCTTAATCCCGGAGTCAATTGGAAGAGCCCCACGAAATCACTTCTAGTTAAAACCCTTTACTTTAATGGGAATGCGAGAATGCCATACCGTTTTTGTCCACCAAACTCACGAGTACTACTCGCTTATAAAAATTGTAGTAGGTTTTGGTCTCAAAGCAACTTGTCTTTGATATGCCGAAATTAATCTTATCCTTAAACCATCATCCAATTGAATAACCTACATAGAATCATGATATTGAGGAGGAATGAAACGAGGGAAATCATCTAAACATGAAACAACCTTCTTTACTATAAGATTATGGTCTAAAGGTAGAGGATGGTTCAATGTAGTGTCACACCAATTAGATCATTATAAAGGAATTGAGCTCTTTCCCACGATCCAAGTTGTGTAACCCATCAAAACAAGTAAAATGATTAAAAAATAGCCTTCCATATGCTAGAGGAATAAGAACAATATGAGGAGAGAGATTGTATTTGGCTTTCATGATCTTAGCCTATAAGTTATGACCTTAGAAACAAGACCAAGCTCGGTTTAGCTTGTAGAGCATCCATAACCTCGAGCAAGCCACAAATACCCAAACCACCCTCCGATAAAGGTCGATACATCCTATCCCAAAATACCCAATGGTGTTTAGAGTCTTCACGCAGCTTCATAAAAAAATTAACGATAATTCAGTCAAGCCTTTATAGAATCATTTTTGGTAAAAAAAATAGATGAAATAGTATGGATGAGGATACTATTAAACATGGCTTTCAAAAGTATAATCTGGGCACCAAAAAAGAGATATTTGGACTTTCATCCTCCTATCATATTTGACAATGACTTCTCTAAGTACTAGAAATATCTACATTTTATCCATCCATGGAATAAAGGCATGTCAAGATATTTCATGGAAAAACACAAATGATTAAACCTAGTCCAAGCCTTAACTAGAGCAATATGCCTATTAATCATTTTCTTAAGAGTATAAAACCCACTCTTGGCTAAATTCAACAACCGACCCGAAGATTCCTCAATTTATAGTCGGTTTTATAAGATGTAAAATTTATTGTTTAGAGCCATTAGTGAACAATAAGCATATCATTTACATAAAACAAATACGTAATTGACATACCACCTCCTCTCTTTACCATGCAGGGAATGATCTTCCCTTTCCTAACTATATGGTCCAATGAATATGATAGAACCTACCGAACCAAAATAAACGAGTAGTGGAGATAAAGGGTCTTTTTATCTAACACCTCTCTTAGACTTGAAAAAACCATAGTTTCTCCCTTTAACCCTAACAAGTATACCAAACATTACTAATATAATGATATATCATGTCACACCACCGGATACAAAAGCCCCGTATAACTATTAATAAAAAGGATCATTCAACTTTATTATAGACTTTAGATGTATCGAAGTTGAAGATAAGTTTGTTACCATACATATTCATGTTTAAGTTTGCCACTAATTCTTGGGCAATAACAATATTTTCAGTTATGCTCATACCCTCCCTAACCGTATGGTCCAATGAGTATGATAGAACCCGCTGAACCAAAATAAACGAGTAATGGAGATAAAGGTTCTTTTTATCCGACACTTCTACTAGATTTGAAAAAACCATAGTTTCTGCCTTTAACCTTAATAGTATACCAAAATTACTAATATAACAATATATCGAGTCACACTACTCGGATACAAAAGCCTCGTATAACTCTTAATAAAAAGGATCATTCAACTCTATCATAGACTTTAGACATATCTAAGTTAAAGATAACGTTGTTACCATACATATTCATGTATAAATTTGTCACTAATTTTTAGGCAATAACAATATTTTCATTTATGCTCATACCTTTAACAAAACCAACTTGCTTCAAAGAAATGATATCATAAAAAATCTTATTTAGTTTGTTAGCCATGATTTTAGAAATAATTTTACACCCCAAAAGAAGAAATGTTAATTAGCCTTAAATCACTCATATTAATGGCATTAGGATCTTTTAAAATCAAGATCAAAGTAGTTCTAGCCATACCTCTAGGAATGTGGCCACCCTTAAAAAATATTGAATTGCTAAAATAACCTCTTAATTAAATCCTAGTTACCTTTAAAAGAATAACCAAGTGAAACCATCTAAACCCGGAGCACTTAAGGGATTGAGACAGTTCATTACCTCTCGGACTTCAATTTTGGATGGGATATCCATAAGCGTATTATTCGACTTTCGAACTCGTTTAAAGCTACCTCAAAATAAAGAATCATGAGTAATCGGTCTACCAACAAAAAATAGATCTTGAAAAAAATCAATAACCGCATTTCCTATAACATCCATATTTGTAAAGGACCCATTTAGTTGTTGCAAGCTAAAATTGTTTTTTCTAGCATTGTTCTTGATACATGTATGGAAAAAAGTATTATGATCACCATTTTGCCCCTAATTTTCCATTCTTTTTGTTGTGATAAATCCACCTCATAAATCGTTATCAATGTCATCATTCCACCTATGCAACAAATCATTTTCAAGATGAATGACCTTGTCCTAAAGGTTTTTTATATGATGGTGAATATTGTCAAAAATTTTCTAGTTCCACTTTTTTCAAACTGCGAACTAGTAAATTTAGCTCGAATAAAGAATATCCATTAAAGTACTTGAAAAAGAAGATTCCCACACCTCTTTGATAAAGGCCTCATAGTCTTTATATTCCATCAACATACGATGAAACTTAAATAAAGCATGAAACTTTCTTATAGGTTCAAAACGAACCAACCATGAAAAGTGATCAAAATGAAACCTAGCAAGGTGGTGAACCAAAATAGAAGGTATGGGTGAAACAAATTAATAGTTAATCGAACTTAATCAAATCTCTCCCAAATATGAGCTAAGCCTATTTGATTATTACACAATGTATATTGACTACCTATAAAACCAACATCATCCACCCCAATACTATTACAACAATCTATAAAATCCTTCATTGTCTAAAGGTCATATCTCATACTATTAACCTTTTTTGACATATCCGTTATGATATTAAAGTCCTCTCCATTAACCAAGAAAGCTCGATAATGATTAGATAAGCGGACCAAGTTTGCTTATAGGTTCAATCTATCCACCCTAGAACATATAGGAGACACAAAAGAACGCATAACTTGATTCTATCCCCGAACTTTTATCATAATTATTATTAATTATTTGGTAATATCCATATAGATCATATAAATATCAGTATTTCAAAAAAGCCAAACATGACAATTAATATGGTTATAATACATATGATGCAAAAAATGTAATTTTTTGACAACCTCATCAATTTCATCTCTATGTAATTTAGGCTCTAAAATCACTAAGAGTATAGGACAATGTCGTCGTTTTGAGAGATTTTTATGGTTAATTGTATCGTTATTCTCCATACTCATAGCATTCCATAAAATGATAGACATAATTAATGTTTAAGGTTAGGAGTACCTTTTTCTCGTAGAGCTACTCGTGTTTTTCTCTTAAATTTTGAATTATGAGGCTTTGCTTTCTTAGCTAAGTTTTTGCATGCTTTGTGTAGTTTGTTAACCTAATTCATATCCATATGCTAGGAGTCTAATCGATTGAAAGATTGTGGGTGTAAAAGCATGAGACTTTTGTTATTTCTATCAAGATAAGCATTATCCGACAAAGAACCTTACCAACCAATCTTTGGCTCCTCAATCTCTAACATTACATCTTCTATCCCATCCAAGTATGGAGAAAAAATTGGTCCTTGCATTCATGCTGAAACTATATATAACGATATTCATATTCTCCTCGTTGGCTAGGTCCGGATTATAAACCATAATATAGTCTTTCAACCGGCTATCAATGATGATCCGCCTAGTTTCATGATTATGCCCACACATAGTCTCTACTCGAGCCTTATTCATTACCCCGTATTGAGTCCCATTGACTTGTGTTATGTTTTTAAATATAATAGCGAGAATCTGTAAAAGAGTCCTCCCGTTTGTCATCATTTACACTATTTTAAACAACATTGTTCTCTATACTTTCTAGAGGATGGAAACTAGTTTTCCTTTGTGATAGTCACATCTTTCAAACTCGTCTCCTTCACTTAATTAGTTGTAAGATTTTAAAGGGACATGCTTCGATATCATGAAGTTGACGATAGATGCGTACTCGGATTAATAACTTTATCTTCATCCCCTTTACGTTGATGCTATTTAGTAAGTAGAATCCAAACATCCTTACCTCTATCGCTTCCTATGTTTTTAGGCAAAGAAGGTTGTTGCGAAACCAACTTTAAATGAGGGGTTACAACCGAACGCGATGAAAGTTTGAGACAAGCTTTCCGGTTATGTCCTATCAAACCACAACCTAAGCAATAAGATAGATTACCCTCATAATCCACCTTTTGCTAAAAATCTCTCTTTCAAACTACCAATACATATTCTTGAAGGGAGATATTTTGAAACATCAATTTTAATATAAATTCTTGTAAACACAAGATGAGTCAATGAGCTAGTTCTCACATCTACTCCAAGAAAACAACCCAAACATCCCTCTATCCTCCTCACATTGAAGGAGTAAAGAATGCGAGAGGTAAATGAGGTAATCTTATCTAAACAAGTAACTATATATAGTTTGACACTCATTTCGATGGCCTCGGTCAAGAGTTATAAGTAAATAATTCGTTGGGTGTACTTAGAATCTACTAGAGATAGATAGATGACTAAGATATGACATGTCATTTCTTGTATACTAAAGGAGTTATCACATTGTACTTTGATAAATGTCTATTCAATAAATCAGTAGCCATAATGGGAGTATACCAATAGAGCATAGTTGGTTTACCAATAGAGCATAGCTGATTTACTCTAGAGCTAAGACATTTAGAAATCAAAAAAACTTGTGTGATCATAATCGAATAGATTATAAACAAAGTTCGAGATCACACTATGATAAATTGACATGAGGATCGAATGGTATGGTAACTATGCTCATGAAAGATAATTGAGGATTAATCCTCCTAGAGAATTAGGTGGTCATGATCCCTTACTAGAGGTCAATCTTAATTTATGTATCAAAAGATAAAAGATGCTTTTTTTATTCTTGATACATTGTCAACATATCTAGGAGCCTATTGAGTCACACTTATAAATTTAAACATTCATATAATAAAAGAAAAGCAAAGATTTTGAAAAGGTTTCCAGTTTTAAAAGTTTTTTATTTTGGAAAAAAGTCTCCAAAAATAGAAAGTTTTCTGTTTTGGAAAAAGTTTCCTATTTTAAAAAGTTTTTTATTTTGAAAAAGGTTTTTTTAAAATGAAATTTTTTTTTATTTTAGAATACTTTTCATTTTAGAAATCAATTTTCTAATCTGGAAGTTAATTTCAAATTTGGAAGTTACTTAAAAAAAGAAATTAGTTTCCTAATTTAGGTTTAAGGGTAATTTGAAAAATTATTTTCTAGTGTGAGCTTTCTAAAAATATCCGACCCAATTTATTTAGATAGTCCTAATTAATTGGGCAAAAAGAGTTTAGGCCAATAGGCTTAATTTAAAAGCTTGTAAGATATTTTGGTCGAAGGATAAACTTGATCTCTATTAGATAAAGCTCAAGGTTTACAAGGATAAAATCAAACAAGCCCACACACATAGCAACTCTTTGTCTTTAGAGGACAAGGATGCCACCTCTTATATAAATAATAGGGAGAGAGGCAAGCAAGGAAGTAAAGATTACAATACATCAACATGACAAAAAGAGAAAGAAAAAGAGAGAAAGTGTTTCTCTCCCAAAAGGTAGGGTTGTTGTATCCCTCCTTAGAAAAGCTTGAGTTGCTGTAAAAACCCTAATTGATTTCTTTAGAAAGTAAATAAACTATACGTAAGGATTGGAGCTAGCACTCTGTGATTTCGTAGCTTCCTTTGTAGGTGTTTAATCCGTGTGGATTATCGATAGAAGTCGGATATCGAGATGACTTATTTTTCTACAAAGGCTAAATCTACGCTACAAGAGATAATATTTTACTCATGTTTTTAATTCATGTATATATGATTAATTGGTTTAACAGACTTGATTTTAGGAGCCTTAGATTGAGGAAAATTTTGTTTTATTACACAAATCTATAGGATGCATGAGCTTTCAATTCTAGACTCCATTTAAAGCTTATGTACATAGAGTTTTGTATTTTATGATTTTTTTTTGCTAAAGTTTTGATTGAAATAGCTTCGGATTGTAAATGAGACATAACACGTCTTGGATCCGAGTAAACCTATAACGGATTCCATGTTCGATTGCCAATTATCCTTTATGTGATTTAGATACCTACCAAGTTAGGCTCGCCTCCCAAAAATTTTAACACCAAAGTGTTGTTAAATTATGCTACTGCCTTTTCCGAGTTCAATAAAGAGAAAAGACATGCGGATTCGTCATTGATAAATGTAGGTTGTCTTGTTGTTAGAGGAAGATCCTTTATAAGTGATTGTCGATCCTTGATTGGCTTTGAGGTTCTATGATCTTTTAACATTGAGGCATAATCAACACGTGGTGGTCGTGCATCCAGGGATTGCTATTCTAAAGACAATATTGAAGGAAACATAAAATGTGAAGTTGTATGTGAAACGGTATCGCCTTATTGTTATTGAGTTTCGTCCGGATCGTCTCGTGTTGGATGGCGAGTGGAGGAAACTCCAACTCTCTATCTCGTAAGCATGGTGGAGGAGGTGGTCGAGCTACCATGGCTAGACGAAAACAAAGCAAGACAACCCATCGAGTTAGAGAGTGTTTTTAACTCTAGATAGCGTTTTCGACTATAATGGAGTTTTTTAATAACTTAATTCTTTTGTTAGATTTCAATTAGAGTGGTATGAAAAATCTTTATTTGAGTATTTTTTGTTTCTAAATTATCTTTTTTTATGTGTTATTTTTCTTTTTCACATACATTTTTTCTTTTTATCTCCCTTCAAACACCAAAATAAATCTCGCATTTTCTCATCAAATGTCTATTTTTATTTTATTAATCTCTACTCCTATTATCTATCCTCAAGTACTAAAAATATTCCCATAAATAGGCATATATGTTAAAAGATATTTTAAGCATTAATAGTTAATTTAATAAATTTGGTAAAAACTTAACAATGAAGGACTAAATATTTAGCTTTTAAAGTGAAAGGATTAATTAATTTGTTTCTCAAAGGAGAGAGACTAATTTATAATTTACTCGTCAAAAAATAGATTCTCTTTGCTTTTTTGTTGCTCTGTTTCTTCTTCATCTCGTTGATATCATCAATAGGCAAAGGCAAAGAGTAGAAAGACCCGGTGGTGTTAAAATTTGTGTCAGGTAAGAATTCCTGAATTCTGTCTGTGCCTTTATTGTTTTGAGCACAAACAGCAAATATGTGAAGGCACTGATTGGTGATTGGTTTGGGTTTAAGAAATCATCAAGATTTCTTTTTCTTCTTTCTTGTTTCAACTTTGATGAGATTAAAGTTTACACTTAGTTCTGGTATTGATCAGAGTTAAAGTTTTACTTAGTATTTTGAGTAAATAACTCTAACATCTAAGTCTACTCAGAATTTTTTTTTCCTTTAATTGCTTCTTTTTGTTAAATAGTATATTTTTGACGTTGTTGATTCAAACTATTCATGTTGTTGATCGGAATCTATTGGTTTCAACTGTCGATTCAGGTTGTTTAGTTCAGGGAAGCGAAGCAAAGAAGATAGATATTCTTATATTAGTTGGAGACTGATGGATATTAAGGGTCTTAATTGTTATATAGATGCTAGAGATTTGCTGTCTTTGTGTTAATTGGCAGTGCTGTGCTTGCTGCAGGCTAGCTATGACCATATCCCATTACGATTGATAAAGCTATGCCATCTACCGGTGGTTGATGCTTGAATGTAACTGGCAAGCCAGAAAAAGACATTAACTCCCACTCGTTTGATACTGTTGCTGTGTGAACCAAATTTATGTCTTGTCTCCTTTGTTCGAAAGTGTCTCGGATAAGTCTGTGTTTAGTCATAGCAGTGTTTTAGAGAAGAAAATACTTACATGTGCTTGTCGTGAATTTAGACAAATAACTTCTATCTTGCAGATAGATAATGGGGTTATGGACTTTTTCTGAAATTTAGACAATGAACTTCTGTCTTGCAGATAGATAATGGGTTTGTTCTGAAATCTCATTTTCTAGATTAGTTAAATGTGTTTGTCCTGAAATTTAGACAATGAACTGCTGTCTTGCAGATAGATAATGGGGTTATGGACTTTTCTGGAAGGTTTTCTGCTTTTGGCAAATGCATTAGCCATACTGAATGAAGATAGGTTCCTTGCGCCGAGGGGATGGACACTGGCAGAACTCCAAGGAAGCAGAAGAAATTCATTCAAGGGGCAGGTTATTGGACTTGTACATGCGTGCCAGTTTATGAGATTGCCGCTTATACTTCTAAACATCATCGTTATCATTGTGAAGCTGGTCTCCGGTTGAGGTTGAGGAAGAAAATAGTTCATAGCTTGGCTTATGTATTATCTTTGTACATTGATATATTACAGAGTCGTTCGCACTCGAGGGTTTGTGCACGCCAAATGCCCAAAGGTTTTTTCTTTTTTCTTTTTTCTGCTGTACGACAACAGAATAAATGGTTCTAGAGCTACTTTTCTGTCGCCGCTTGTATTTCAATCATCTCTGGCACTTGTTGTCTATCAATTCATAAGTTAAATTGAATTATTGAACTCGAGTGTTAAGATCACTTGAAGGAGACAGGATAGAATCCAAGGGTAATTGATCGAGGTAAGGAGTAATTTATCACTACAGATTGGTTGTAATAGGTATTGGAAACTAACAAGTAGGATCTTACTTGCCTGGAACTAATAAGCCAAGCATCCATCCTTAGAGGACTGGAGCATCACAATATTTGAAAAATGACGTGAATTCATCGGGAAAAGAAAGACAACTGAAACTGGCCAGAGAAATGTAGCTGCTAGAAAATGCAAAATCAAACATCAAAATAGATTTAAGTAGTCTAATCTGTGTAATGGATAACGGCATTCATTTATTTATCTGGAAAAAGTTTCCGGATACAACACTAACAGTAGGGCTTCAATCCATCAGCATCAGAACCCTTACATCCACCATAATTTAGGACTCACTCGATTGGGATCATAACCTCATTAGTCCTCAAAGGAGGCAAAGTCCAAGGTGGATTATACCTTGCCAACAAAAATTCTCCAATCACCTTATGCCCATCTCTCTCCAAGCTCTTCTTCAGCTTCTCCACTTTCTCTGCCACAACCTGCTCTGTTGCCACACCTCCAAACTTTACCACCCCGTATTTCCTCTCCCCTTCTTCCCTTATCACCACCCTCTCATCCACCGGCTTGGGTGCCTCCTCTGCTTTGTTATACTTAGCAGGCAACAAAAACTGCATTGTCATCATCTTCTTCCCTTCTACCTCACTCTCTTTGGTCACAACAGGAGCCGTCATGGCAATCTTTTCACTTTCTCCACCAGTTTTAGTTATAACTGGGGCTGTCATGGCTATCTTTTCAGGCTTGGTGTTCTGTGGATTGCCTAAGGCACCAATATAATTAGCCAGCACCATGAACCCACCATCTTTCTTCCCATTGAATTGAGATGGATCATATGTGACTTCTGCAAGGACTGAAGGGGCATATTTACGGATTTCATAATCATCGGACGATTGAATCACTTCATATTTTGGAGTTTCTACAGTAATCTTTCCAAGAACCAATCCCATTTTGAAGAGCTAAGCTATAACTATTTGAGTGTGAGAAAAAAGACTTACAAGAAAGATCAGGTTGCAGTAATTTGTGTAGGGCTTAGCAAATTAGGTTTCCTTTCCTTCTCATATAAAGCAATGGATCGTTCGTGGTGCTTACGGTTTAGAGTTGATGATGTTGCTTGGAGAAGGGGGTGAGAGTTGTGGCTTCGAATAATTTAGCGGCGAGAAATCGAGGAAACATTTGTGGACCCTGTCTGTCCAACAATGCGAGAGAACAAATAATCATGGAGTAATTAACAACGAGTAAATTATAAATTAGTCCCTTTTATTTTGAAAAGCAAATTAATTAATTCCACTCATTTTAAAAATTAATTATTTAATCCCTTAAGTTTTAATTCAGTTAATAACTTAATCTTTTTATCAATTATTGCTTAGTTTAGTGATTTTTTAAATTAATTTTTTATGCCTTATTTCTCTCACCTTCTCACTGTTTCTCTTTTTCTTTTTCTAGAATTGTTTCATTAGAAAAAATTTACCGTATATATAATTGTTAGGCTATACCTTTTTTATGTAAATTTATATTTGTATTGTACTACTATTTGAGAGATAATTGTTAGACTATACCTTTTCTTCAAGTAGAAGTGGAGGGAAAAAAAGTAAGAATGGAGATATGAAATTACAAGCGAAAAGGAGAGAATCTCTAAGAACAAAAATTGCTAATTTATACTAATTCTAGAGAATTGCGTTGCTTTTTTTCTTTCTTTTTTCATTTTTTTATTTAATATTATCAGAACTGCACGAGTGGGTTATTGATTTCCTTCATTTATTTTTGAGAATTCTCTGTTTTGTAATGTTGTGATAAAAAGCATAATTGATCAATTATCGAAGATCAGAGAAGATTGCAACATTTGTATACTTCAGGGACTGAATTGATATCGGACGGGACGTTGACTTGTCGAAGGTGGAAGACGTTTTCTTTTCCTTTAAAAAAGGGCAAAATGCACACGTGCTTTTCATAAATAAGGACAGTACTCAAATTTGCTTTCCCTTTCTTTTTAGAAGAAAACGCCTCCGAAAATTACTATTTTTTTTATTATTGTTATTTCCCTCAAGGGAAGACGTCTTCATAAAAGCTTCTATATAAATATACCGCCATTGGTTTTCATGGGAAAGAAAAAATTATTGAGATTGTGATTTTTTGCACGAGAATTAATACAAAGAAGAATGATTATTGGTAGTGGCTAAGGAGTCCATTGGTATCGCATGCCTTCTTTTTTTTAATTTTTTAAATACTTAAAAGAAAAATTTGTGTGTTTTGATTTTTTTTTTTTTTTAATTGAAGAAGAGCACGCAAAATGAAAAATCGTTAAAAAAAATATTTTGATTCATTTTGTTTGACTTTGAAAATTTTTGACGATTGATTGTGGTGCTTTGTGTTTTTGAAAATAAACCAATTTTCGATTGTTTTTGTTTTTTAAGATTGCAGCATTAAAAATAGAAATGAAATAAAAAAGGTTTGATGTTGAGATAACAAAAAAAAAAAAAAAAAATCAATTCATTATAATTTTTTTTTTTAGAATTTTGAGAGCCTTTTAAGTTTTTTCGTAGTTGTCGCCATTGGTGGAGTATTTTTCTTTTTTTCCAATGTTCTTTGTTTAATAATTCTAGATTTAATATTTTTTTCTACTAGAACTGATGTTGCTGCTATTGGCAGAGTATTTTTTTCTTTAAAGCTCTTTATTTAATAATTCTAGATTTAATATTCTTTCTACTAGATATGATTTTGTTTTTTTATATTTATCTAGTTTATTTAGTGTTTGCTTAGTATTTTTAGTACTTTTTTTAGATTAAGGTTTTTTTTTTTTTTTATGTCTTTCTACCCTCTTATGAGTTTTTGGCTGCAATATAAGTATTACACATAGAACTAATAAATCAGTATTAAGATATTTTTATATGTCAAAGAAGGAAATTCAAATTTCTTTTTAGGTTGAAAAAGGAAAGTCAAGATAGTGGAACTACAAATAAATAAATTATTGACAAAGAGTGTTTTAATTGTTCATTTACTTGTACAATAGTTTCTATGTAAAGTTTTCATTGCATGTTTTTAGGTATTTTTTATGATTGCATAAGCTTGTTTTTATTTATTTTTTTTTTTAGACAATTTTATTATTGTTATTATTTACCAAAAAAAAAAAAAGTACAACCGGAGAAGAATGAGAAATCCTCAAGAACAACGATTGCTAATTTATATAAATTCTAACTCCTCTTTCTCCTTCTTTTTTTATTACCTTTTTTTTTCTGTTGTTCTAATTGAGTGCTTTCAAATTAATATTATCAGAGCTGCACGATGGGTTCTTGATTCTTTTTTCCTTTATTTATTTATTTATTGAAGAAAATTTATGTTTTACAATGTTGTGCTGATAGGAAGCCTAATTGATCTATTATCTAACCTTGATGGAAATGGAAAAATTGCAACGTTAATCTAATTCAGGGACTGAATTGATAGCTCAACGAGACATTGAGTTCACGCGTAAGACGTTTGCTATTTAAAAATAAAAAAAAAAGAGTATGGACGTCTTTGAAAAATGATAGACGTCCGATACGTCCAAGCGTATTGCATTTTTTCGACTATGCTTCTGGGAAAAATCTTCATCCTTTTCCCTCGCCCTATAAAAGGCACCTCAGTGTTTGAAAACACAAGCAGGGAAACAAATTTCACACAGAGGAGGATAGCAAAGGAGATGGCAGACAACTTCAAGCCACATCTTGGATTTGAAACTGAAAGGTTTGTTTTAATCTCTTTCCTTTGCTTTATTTTCAAACAGAGTACTCTTTTTTTATTAAAAAATATTTTAAAAAAAAAAAAAAAACCTCAAATATACACTTGAGGTATCAATTTTATATCCAAACTATTGTTTATATAAGTTTTACCAGTGAATTATTATAATTTTTCGTGTAAAAATTCCTATATATATACATTTGACACGCACAAGTGGGTCATGCTCGCATTCCTTGTTGCTCTTTTTATTTATGCAACCGCTTCAGTGGCTGAGATTATGCTCCGAGCTCGTGGATCAATTTACCATCCCATCGTCGGCTATATCCGCCTCTTTGCTAGCGGCTTTGCCACCATTTTGCTCCTGGTTATTCTTGACCCAATTTTGGGGTACATCTTTTCTGTCCTATGGGCCTGTTTATTTGCGAGACTAGCACATGGATCATATAAAGAGTTGTCTGAGTTACGACGCCACTCTGCTCAATTTGGACTACTTGGAATTTTTAGACACCACACGGACGAAAAGCCTAATCAAGTTAATCAACCTCCTCCGTCTGAAGCTAATCCACCCGCCTTTGCCTGCGTAAGGCTCAACCAGTTGGAACGCCACTTCTGGACCAAAACTAATTGGAATTTTTAGGTGCCGCAAAGATGGAAGAAACAAATCAAGCTAATCACCTGCCTTCGCCTGTGTAAGGCCGAACTAGTTGGAATTTAGGATTTGTTTTTGTTGTGGTGTATGACCCAAGTTGTATTTTGATTTTTTTTTAAGATAAAATATGTTGGTTATGCTGTGATTATGTCATAATTATATACAAAATTAGAGATGTTTTATAATGTTTTATCCAATACAATAAATATTCATTAAAAACAATGTAAATCTGCTAATGTGTGAATATTTATCTTATTAATATCTAATAATTTATTTTAAAAAATAAACATTCAGATACCCAATTGTACAGAATTTATCAAATATAGACCAAAATATTTTTTTATGAAAACACTGAAAAAGGACTAAATTGTAAAAATAAAATTTTAAATATTATAATTAAAATTTACAGAAATTGAAATAAAATATTTTGACTAATTATTTTTAGCAAATATTAAATTCAAGTATAACAGTAGTTTCTTAATAGCTAAAGAGAAGACATTTCTTAATACATAAGATAAAAGATTGACTTACGAATTGACGAGACCCGTTGCCGTTTCTATACACAATGTGAAATGGAGGTAGAGAAATATCATAATTTCTATTGTAGTTGTGAAGTTTACTAAGATTGACTTAATCTACTGTACCCAGAGAGTTTTAATGGTCAAATTATAGCTTTCCTCACCCTATATATAGCAGCTTACGCCAGATAGATAGGTAGTGATATCATTGTCATTTATGGTTGGACTCATTCTGCTCCTACGGTTGTGTTTATATGAATTTAGACTTGTTCATGGGTCATCCTTGTCATGAGTATTGATTTGGTGAATGAGGGAGGCATAGTCCTAAAACCCAGGAAAATTCCTCGAGAAAAATTCCCAAGGCCCACCACAACAACATAGATGTTAGACAACTCTTCAATCAAATTAGCATATAAATTTTCCTAAATGAAAAAACAAAAGGCTGATTTCGAATAATATAAAGATAACTTCAAAGTAACAAAATGAGCGATTTTATGCAATTTTAGCAACTTTGAGGAAATATTTGTGGGTTCTCTTTATCCATCAATGTGACTGAAGCAAATAATTATAGAGTAATTAATAATATTTATTCTATGAATTTATCTTTAAAAAAACAGATATAAAAAAGAGAGAAAATCATGTCCGAGTCTATAAAAAATAATAAAAATGTTTTTGTTTAAACTTATTTTTTATTATTATTTTTTTTGTATTTCTCTCTCTCTCATAAAATAAATATAATTATTTACTTACTGAATAACATCAAATTTCTCAGTTTCTGAAAAAAATATCCATAAACACTAACAGCGAGGAGCAAACTAGTTTGAAGTTCTTGATGGAATTAGTATTTGAGGTAAGATTTTATTTGTTTCTTAATCTAGGAAGCCTTTAGCATATCACGGACCGTCTCTTGTTTTCAATCCACTATTTTTAACTAGCATCTCAAACCTCTACCTACTTAAATTCCAGATTATTTGTTTGTATATATTCTGTTTTTTTTTTCAATTTATTAAAAAATTACTAAATTTGATTATTTATTGTTTTGATATTTAAAATTGGATAATGTTTTATA